GGGAGGGAGGGAGGGAGGGAGGGAGGAGGGGATCGTTGGTTGAAAAAACATTTGCCCAACCAAAGTGGAATTTCACCGGCGCCTTTATTAGGAGCAGGCGAACGATGAATTTCAGATTCGCGAGAAACGATACTGTTTGCTCCGTGGGAAATTTTGCTCCGGTACCTATCCGATGATCGATGCCGCCGGAAAATTCTCTCCTCCACCGCCGACAGAGAGATAGAGAGAGAGAGAGAGAGAGAGAGAGAATTATTGATGAGCGAACCCGTCGCTAGCTCTAATCTTCGCGTTAGATCCTTATCAACATCTTATCCATGCAACGTTTCTCAATGGCGAGGAGAGAGGAGAAAATTTGCCAAGAAAATTTGCCTCGATACCTACGAGAGCTACCTTCGCCGAGTTATTAAAAACAGAGAGGCCAGGCGAACAAACGAATCTCGGCCCGGTTTTCCGCGAGAGGCTCGCGACTCTTCAAAGCGTTTTAAACACGTTCGCCTTTTCATTCTCGCAGTTCTCAGAGGTATCTTTCTGATACCGAGACAATGAAGATAGGAAATAAAACGGAAATATCTGGAATTGTAATATTTCCGCTGCAATGCTACGATGAGAGACTAAAAAATGTCTCCACGTCAATGGCCATGATATTCTGTTGAAACTGAAAGATGAAAACACCTCTCGAGCAGAAAGCCAAATCGAGAAACCAATCGACGACAGAAGGTTTAAAAACGTCTATGTAATAACTGCGCTAGATTTTCCCTCGCCTCAACAACGTCAGTTTGTACATTGTTCCTCTCATTTTAATCAGCCCTCCGTTCGCTGCGACCGAAACAACCAAACTGCAGATCAGGCCAGCAACCAATACGCTATGGAGAATACGTGCGATTTCTCTTATGAAAAATTGAAACGCAATCCCCATAGCGGATACTACGCGCGATGCCTGGCAACGACCGGTGTTCAACTCCCGCATTTTCTCTGAAACTCTCCACGCTCGAAGGATTCGGGAAAGCGGACCGGGGTGAAACAACAAACGAAGGGTGAAAACGACATAAAGCGGTTAATCGCTGAAATTATCCCGAAAATGAACGGTTGCGCTCGAATAAATACGGGAAAGGCCGGTCAACCGGGCTGCAAGTGGCTGCGAGTC